TCTGCGGCCACGGTCATGTGGAATTGTGGGGCTGTGGGAAGAGGGGTTTAAGTCAAGTCGACGAGTGAGTGATTGTCGGGTCGCACAAACTGGCCGACACGACGTGGACGAGATAGACGAGGCAGACGAAGAGGAGGGACACGTGTGAATCGGCGAGTATGGCGACGGGAGTGGGGCAGACGAGGCTCCTGTTGCACTAACGAGCGTGACGGTCGGTCTGTGGATGGTACATCAATTAGCCCGCAAACCGGCCTGGAGGCGGGGCGATGGGGTCGGTGGGAATGGCGAAACAACCAGCGCTGGTGATTGGATGATGTGTTCATCTGGGGGATAGCTTAACTCCGGCTGGCCCAACACTGCTGCTGTCTACCAGCACGACTCGAACCCGAGAACGGTAGTTCGTAGTAAAGACGGGATTTACGAGGCACGCAAATATTTTTCATTCTTCACCAACCGCTTATTTCGTTACGATGAAATAGGCAGTTGTAAGTTGGTCAATCGAGCATTCTTCGTTGCACCCAGCTACCAATTTACCCTTTAAATATGCACTTTAAAGCATATTTTCTCCTCGCAAATGAACACACTACTCTATTCCTATCAAGTAGTCTGTTGCAATGTGGTCGACTGAGTCAGAGTATTGTTAGGGGGACAAACTTATGAATCTCTTTTTAATGCATTTTCATGTGAACTAAAATTATCCTTAACGATAATTGCATACATTGACTTATTCTATTCAGGATGTTGCCTATCTGTTAATTTTTTATAATCTCTGTAATCTTCCTATTTGTGATACAATCTCCATATCCAAATAAGCGTTTGACTTTAGACTCTTCTATCTATTGTCCTCTGTGAGAATTGCGCTCGGCCACTTAGGATTTTTGGACCCACACTACTTTTCATACTATTTTCTGTTTAGATAATTTCTCATGTATTAGTCGGCATGCCTGTCCCACATGAGCACAGAATTTAGCATTAGCGCGATCTGGAGAGAGGGTGCGGACATTGCCGAAAGAGAGCATCATCGAAGAAGTGGTACTTCACCTATCCCTTTAGAAAGATGACAGAATAGCATCAGTATGTAGTAGACTCGTCTAGTCGTCTGTCTCGCCCCAACTAAATGCTTCTCTCAGTCCTATTTTCCAATATTCTAGAGTAATTATAAGTTAGTCATAATGGATGCGTTTTCTTAACTAAACCTCTTCTTAAGTCCCTTAATTGCTGGTCCCGATGATTACC